ATCGACGACTTTGGATTGGCTGAGTCATCGAACCTCCCGGATTTATGAATTGAAGCTTTCCCAATTCACGCTGCATTTGCCTTTGGCGATCTGCAATCATTGAATGGTTATGAGACATTAGAAGCTAAGTTTGTTTTGCTATAGTGACATGTGCATCAAGTCAAAGTAAGTTGCAATAGTGAAATAAACTCACTTATCTCATCAGGCGTCATCTGAACACTTTCATCGTTGATTTCATCGAAGAACACGATGTTAGCTGAGCTAGAGTCATGATGAGTAACTTCTCTATCTACGACCTTAAATATACAATCCATAAATAGTTTGATGAAGAACTTCAATAAAAACATCTAGCTGATGCATATTGAGAATGAATTTTTTATGAACAAAACATCAGCATTTCAGATGCGGTTAGAGCTGCATGCACTTACCAAAAAGAATAGACTGTACTTTAGTCTTATTCCATTGTGACATAGTTCAAAAAATAATTAGAAATTTTTGTTGTAAGAAACCTCATACAAAAAGAAAACTGGAGACCTTGCTTCCTCCCTATTTCCTCCTATTTTCCACTTAACTTTCCAGTTATTTGAACAAGATAACTATTAAATAACAACGTTCAACAGGAGCAAATAAAATAAAGTGAAATTAAGTAAATGTTTTACTTCTATGAAAGACGTAGATAAGAAATGAATAGCTTAAGCAAACTTTGGGTAAGATAAAACTAACACGATGTTCCTGCGACGAAGAGGAAGAAGCAGCAGCTCTGGCGTGAGCGAGTCCAACCATGAGTGAAAGAGCGTCATTCGTAGATGACATAATAGAGAAGACAAAAAGGTACAACGAGTTCTGTAAATTTTTGTTGTGAGTTGAGACTTCGAACAAGATTAATTCGAGATATTCAATTACAAATCTGAAGAAGAGTATTCAGCAAAGTATTTAGAAGCTTCTGTACAAGTATTCTTTACAAACCTCATAAAAGACAAATTTCATGAAACTACAAAAATATTTGCTTTGAGCAGTGAATGGAAGAGCAAGTTTGGAAGATACGAGTTGAGAATGTCCGGGCAATGACTTGATATTTAGTTATTATTTTTTGAACATTCTTACACCGTACACTACTTTACTTCAACTTCGTCAGTTTTTGTCATGTTTACAGGATACTTGGAGCCATATAAAAGCTTCGGCTTCTTCCGTTGCTTGACAAACCATTATTCGTCGGGCCCGGACATTTTAACCGGAATAATTGTGTCTTTTAAATAAGGAACAAATGTGGAATACAAATATACAAATACAAACAGTTCACTTTGAAATAGACTGAAGACGTTTTAGGAGGAATAAATTTATCTAATGGATTTCCTAAAAAAACTCATTACCGCTCAACACAACTCATTACAATTACTTGAAATTTTGTTTCGTTGCTAAGAAAACTGCGGAATTTCACTGTGAGAAATATTAGTGATTATAGTCAGTCTAATTGAAATAACGTCTTCTGCTTTGTCCCCTGAGACCAATGTTAAGTGAATACGTTGTTGAGAGCGCTATTGTAACTGGACGCTTAAAGATCCTGGTTATATTGTCCGGGCCCGACGGACAATGGTTTGTCGTTGCTTGTAGCATTCCTACAGCCACTTGCACTGTACTACACTTCTCAAAACAAAACTTAATTTTTTTAAGTGAAGAATAGTCCTAAATGTCTCATATAATTGAAGGTGAGCCAAAAAAGCCTCCACCATAATCATTAGATTGAAACTAAGAAGTTTCAAAATAGGCGTAACGAAAATAATAGTAAGCCTGCACGCAACCGTCAAAAATCTCCTGAATTCAACAGGTAGAATAATTATGATGATGCATACGAACTGAACAATCACAGAACAGCAAA